TGTGTTTTCTGATGGTCTTTGGTGACCCCTCTGACACCCCCCTTGTGACCCCCAAGGGAACCCGACTCCCAGGTTGAGAAACACTCCTGTAGATGCACCCTTTAAAAGAAGGAGGGGAAGTGTTCTTTGAAGCTTAACAGTGTTTCTGCATCGTAGAATGAATGCAGCACGAGCCCACTTTAACTGTCTTGGCTTAATGCTATGGGATCGTGAGAGTTGTAGTACTGCAAGATCTTTAGCCTTCTCTGCCTTATCAAATCCTAAGATCCCACAGCAGTGAGCCATGGCAGAGAACAGAGGAAAATTCTGAGAGTACCGTGGACTGCAAGAAGATCCAACCAGTCCATACTCCAGGAAATAAAGCCCGGCTGCTCACTGGAGGAAATAATATTAGAGGCAAAAATGAAGTACACGCGTGTGCATTTTAGATGGATTAGGGATCAGGTGGTTTTCCCTGTAAGAGGCAGTAAGAGCACCTAAAGCTTTGGAGAACTTCTGTTCAACCATTTCAAAGCTCCCTGCTTGAGCGGTGATGGCATGATCATCAGCATAGATGAAAATTTGAAAATTTGAAAAAAATGAAAATTTTGAGTCCCCTTTCAGGAGAGATAAAACAGGGTATAATTTTTTTTATCGTGTCAGGAGCAACCAGACATTTGTATTACATTTTTAACAAAACAAACAAACAAACAGACAGACAGACAGACAAAAACACAGAGTTTGCAAGCTTGGTAGTTGATTAAATGTCCTTTGAGCAGTATCTGGCCACTTGGAGTGCCTCTGGTGTTGCCGCAAGGAGGTCCTCCATTGTGCATGTGGCAGGGCTCAGGTTGCATTGCAGCAGGTGGTCAGTGGTTTGCTCTTCTCCGCACTCGCATGTCGTGGACTCCACTTTGTGGCCCCATTTCTGAAGGTTGGCTCTGCATCTTGTGGTGCCAGAGTGCAGTCTGTTCAGCACCTTCCAAGTCGCCCAGTCCTCTGTGTGCCCAGGGGGGAGTCTCTCATTTGCTATCAGCCATTGATTGAGGTGCTGGGTTTGAGCCTGCCACTTTTGGACTCTCGCTTGCTGGGGTGTTCCAGGGAGTGTCTCTGTAGATCTTAGAAAACTATTTCTTGATTTAAGTCGTTGACGTGCTGGCTGACACACAAACAGGGGATGAGCTGGAGATGTCTCTGCCTTGGTCCTTTCACTATTGGCTGCTACTTCCCGGCGGATGTCAGGTGGTGCAATACCGGCTAGACATTGTACTTTCTCCAGTGGTGAAGGGCGCAGACACCCTGTGATAATGGGGCATGTCTCATTAAGAGCCACATCCACTGTTTTAGTGTGGTGAGATGCATTCCACACTGGGCATGCATACTCAGCAGCAGAGTAGCATAGCGCAAGGGCAGATGTCTTCACTGTGTCTGGTTGTGATCCCCAGGTTGTGCCAGTCAGCTTTCGTATGATATTGTTTCTAGCACCCACTTTTTGCTTGATGTTCAGGCAGTGCTTCTTGTAGGTCAGAGCACGGTCCAGAGTGACTCCCAGGTATTTGGGTGCGCTGCAATGCTCCAGTGGGATTCCTTCCCAGGTAATAATCCTCAGAGCTCGGGATGCTTGTCTGTTCTTAAGGTGAAAGGCACATGTCTGTGTTTTAGATGGAATAGGGATCAGCTGGTTTTCCCTGTAGTAGACGGTAAGGGCACCCAAAACTTCGGAGAGCTTCTGTTCAACCACCTCAAAGCTCCCTGCTTGAGCGGTGATGGCACGATCATCAGCATAGAAACATTATTTTTGTTGCTACTACATAACTGTAATTTTGCTATTGTTGTGAGTCGTCATGTAAATATCTGATATGCAGGATGTATTTTCATTCACTGGACCAAATTTGGCACAAATAGCCAATATGCCCAAATTTGAATACAGTGACCATCACTCAAAAAATTTGATTTGTCATTTGGGAGTTGTAGTTGCTGGGATTTATAGTTTACCTACAATCAAAGAGCATTCTGAACTCGACCAATGATGGAATTGGGCCAAACTTAGCACACAGGGCTCCCGTGACCAACAGAAAAAACTGGAAGGGTTTGGTGGGCATTGACCTTGAGTTTTGGAATTCACCTACCTCCAGAGAGCACTGTGGACTCAAACAATGATGTCTGGACCAAACTTGGCACAAATACTCAATATGCCCAAATGTGAACCCTGGTGGAGTTTGGGGAAAATAGACCATGACATTTGGGAGTTGTAGTTGCTGGGATTTATAGTTCACCTACAATCAAAGAGCATTCTGGACCCCTCCAACCACAAAATTCGGCCAAACTTCCCACAGAGAACCCCCATGACCAACAGAAAATACTGTGTTTTCCTGATGGTCTTTGGCGACCCCTGTGACACCCCCTCGCGACCCACCAGGGGTCCCGACCCCCAGGTTGAGAAACACTGACCTAGAGCTTTGGAAAGCTTCTGTTCTACCATCTCAAATCTCCCTGCTTGAGCAGTAATGGCATGATCATCAGCATAGATGAAACTCTCTGTCCCTTCTGGTGGCTGATTACAGTATAATGGTATAGTGCAATATAGTAATATATAATACTGATATTGTACTATGCTAATAATATAATATATTGTATGAAAATATATCTTGTAAGCTGCTTTGAGTCCGCTTTGGGGTGAGAAGGGCGGCATATAAATGCTGCAAACAAACAAACAAACAAACAAATAAATAAAGTGGTATTGACAGGTTCTAACTGGGGTGCAAAAGACCCCCACTCCAGACAAGCTGAAAAATTCCATCTGGTTAGAGAAAGTAAAATATAGATGTTGATGTGTGGAATCAGCTTTTGACCTCCCAGCTTAGACTTATTGACCCACAACTCCCCTTTCAGCTGCAATTTTAAGGTTCAACTAAAAGAGAGAGCAATGTTTACAGCAGATGGGCCACCAACAAAAAAGCTCTCCAAAGGAGGAAACAAATAAAATAAACCTTGGCCAAGATCCTACCATGATGTCTACTTGTTGCAACTTGATGGCTCCATAGCTACACTGCAGAAACACAACAAAAGTGAATTGTGCAATTGTGCAAAAGGGCTGTGGGGTTCGTTCTCGAGTTTTGTGTTTGGACACGTCTTGGGGATTGCGCAATGTATATTATTGCCATTCTTGATCGGAGTGTGATACATCAATCTGCTTTGCCATTGCGTCATGGAAATTTGTATGTTGCAATCTCATGGCAGCTTGTTGTTGTTGTTGTTGTTGTTCTGCGCTTTTGAGTCATTTCCAACTTGTAGCGACCCTAAACAGAACGCAGTTGTATTTTTTCTTGGTGAGATGAGCTCCAGATTAGATTGTCTTTCTCGGACGCTGAGGGAGTGTGACCTGCCCAAGGTTCCCTACTGGGTTTCCAAAGCAGAGCAGCAATTCGGACCTTGGTCTCCAGAGTCCAACACACAAAACCACATTGAATCTCGAACAGACATGACATAACTCAGTACAATTTTGGGCACAGCTAAGGCTATCTGACAGTTCTATCCTCTTTTCCTTCTCTCTTGTAGTAGCAGTAGTAGTAGTAGTAGTTTTCATGCTGATGATCGTGCCATTACTGCTCAAGCAGGGAGCTTTGAGACTGTAGAACAGAAGCTCTCCGAAGCTCTAAGTGCTCTTACTGCCTACTACAGGGAAAACCAGCTGATCCCTAACCCATATAAAACACAGACATGTGCCTTTCATCTCAAGAACAGAGAAGCATCCCGAGCTCTGAGGATTATTACCTGGGAAGGAATCCCACTGGAGCATTGCAGCGCACCCAAATACCTGGGAGTCACTCTGGACCGTGCTCTGACCTACAAGAAGCACTGCCTGAACATCAAGCAAAAAGTGGGTGCTAGAAACAATATCATACGAAAGCTGACTGGCACAACCTGGGGATCACAACCAGATACAGTGAAGACATCTGCCCTTGCGCCGTGCTACTCTGCTGCTGAGTATGCATGCCCAGTGTGGAACACATCTCACCACACTAAAACAGTGGATGTGGCTCTTAATGAGACATGCCGCATTATCACAGGGTGTCTGCGCCCTACACCACTGGAGAAATTACACTGCTATTGCACCACCTGACATCCGCCGGGAAGTAGCAGCCAATAGTGAAAGGACCAAGGCAGAGACATCTCCAGCTCATCCCCTGTTTGGGTATCAGCCAGCACGTCAACGACTTAAATCTAGACATAGTTTTCTAAGATCTACAGAGACACTCGCCAGAACACCTCAGCAAGCGAGAGTCCAAAAGTGGCAGGCTCAAACCCAGAACCTCAACCAATGGCTGATACCAAATGAGAGACTCCCCCCTGGGCACACAGAGGACTGGGCGACTTGGAAGGCACTGAACAGACTGCGCTCTGGCACCACGAGATGCAGAGCCAACCTTCAGAAATGGGGCTACAAAGTGGAATCCTCGACATGCGAGTGTGGAGAAGAGCAAACCACTGACCACCTGCTGCAATGCAACCTGAGCCCTGCCACATGCACAATGGAGGACCTTCTTGCAGCAACACCGGAAGCACTCCAAGTGGCCAGTTACTGGTCAAAGGACATTTAACCAGCTACCAAACTCACAAGTTGTGTATTTTTCTGTTTGTTTGCTTTGTTCTGTTAGAAATGTAATATAATGGACTGGTTGCTCTGACACGACAAATAAAAAAAAATAGTAGTAGTAGTAGTAGTAGTAGTAGTAGTAGTGTGCTTTCAATTCATTTCCAACTTGCAGTGACCCAAAGCAGAACTCGGTTGTAAGGTTCCTTGATGGGATGAGCTCCAGATTAGATTCTCTTCCTCTGTATGAGTATGACCTGCCCAAGTTTTCCCACTGGGTTTCAAAGGCACAGCAGCAACACGCCTTGAATCTCAAACAGACATAAATAACTCAGTTCGACTTTGGACACGCCTAAAGTTATCCGTTTCCATTGCACTTCTGTATTCTAATATTGCCCTCTTTTTCTTCTTGCCTCCTCTCCATTAGCCATGTGTCCCAGCTGTCCCAAGGAGTGTTGCTTTGGATTTCACTCCGGGAATCCTCTTCGCGCCAGCAACGTCTTATCTTACTACAGGACGGACCCTGAATGCAACCTGGAAGCTGTGGTGTAAGTATAGAAAACATCTCCTTTCTCCGTAATTAATACTTCATGATGTTCAACAAAGGGAGGTCTAATTTGGAGAGAGCAGGTGTCATGAATAACATTTCAATAACTTTGAAGTGTGAGAGGGTACATCAGATCTTTTGCAGAACGTTTACACAAAGAATGACATTAGACAGACAGACATACAGATTCTTTGCAACTACATTGTGAACATTTCTGTTATCACTGTCCCAGTTCTTATTAGAGTTTACTTTTCAGTTCTTATTAGCAACTTTTAATTACAATCCATGGGAGTTCTGTGTGCCAAGTTTGATTCAATTCCATCGTTGGTGGAGTTCAGAATGCCCTTTGATTGTAGGTGAACTATAAATCCCAGCAACGACAACTCCCAAATGACAAAATCAATCCCCACCAGTATTCAAATTTGGGCATATTTAGTATTTGCGTCAAATTTGGTCCAGTGAATGAAAATACATCCTGCATATCAGATATTTACATTACGATTCATAACAGTCGCAAAACTGCAGTTACGAAGTAGCAGTGAAAGTCATGTTATGGTTGTGGGTCACCACAACATGAGGAACTGTATTAAGGGGTCGTGGCATTAGGAAGGTTGTGAACTACTGGGTTAAACAACACTTGTGCCGGCAGAATTGCTGACCAAAAGGTTGGGTGGTTGTTTGAATCCGGGGAGCGAGGTGAGCTCCCATCTGTCAGCTCCAGCTTCTCATGTGAGGACTTGAGAGAAGCCTCCCACAGGATGGTAAAACACCTGGGTGCCACAGGGCAACGTCCTTGCAGACAGCCAATTCTCTCACACCAGAAGCGACTTGCAGTTTCTCAAGTCGCTCCTCACACGAGAAAAATAATTCCTTTCTACTTTTCTCTCCTAGGCTTGTCATGAAGAAGAACAACAAGCCGATCTGTGTGTCTCCGGAAGCGCGTTGGGTGAGAAGACTCTTGCCCAAGGTGCAAGAAACAAAGTAAGAAAGATGCCAAAGAAGCGGAGACGACAGAAAGGAGATCCCAAACAACAACCAAGCTGTGTATTTGGACTCTTCTATTGCGTTCCTTTTGCATTTCATGCTTTTCGCCACTAAGCGGTGAACAAACTCTACTACTGAATAGTTCGGGAGCACTGAAGACAATCTGAGCACTATATTTTCCTCTCTTTTTTTCCCTCTGGGAATTGTAGTTTATGGGCAACTTTATGTATTTTTTTTAATCTATAGTTAAAGGGACGGGAGACAATTGGTGGATTGTGTTGAGCGTTGCACTATGACTCTGGAGACCAGGGTTCAAATCCTAGCTCAGCCATGAAAACCCACTGGGTGACTTTGGGCAAGTCACACTCTCTCAGCCTCAGAGGAAGGTGATACTAAGCCTCTTGTAAAATGAATGCACTGAGGATAAGTGTATAAGCTAAAATAACAAATGCAAAAATAAAGCTGATTGTCTATAACATACATTTCTTGTCTCTGTTATCATTGCCAACATCCAGGTCTTATAAATGCTACTGTTCCGTCCTAAAGCACCCAAAGTGGTAGGAGGTGTAGCTTTGCAAGGTCTTCTCTACCAAGGAGTGCTGGTGCTTCACCAAACTACAGCTCCCAGTATTCCAAAGCACTGAACAATGGCAGTTAAAGTGATGTCAAACTGCATTAATTCTACAGTGTAGATGCACCATTGGTGGTCTCTTAGGTCCTCTTATTCCATAGTCGCATTGAATGCAGTTTTATTTACATGCCAAGAGCTTGGAATTCTATTGAATTGCCCTGGAAGACATATCTATCTATCATCTATCTATCTATCTATCTATCTATCTATCTATCTATCTATCTATCTATCTAAAATTTGTTTCTAAACTCGTTTCGTTTTTAGGGGTCCATTGCGTTTCGTTTTTTAAAAGAATTCCGAATTTTTCTTTTAAAAAATTTCGTTATTTACGAAATTTCGTAAATAACGAATCGATTCGTTAATGGCGGGCGCGATTGCGCAATACGCTAAAAAAACCCTCCAAATGGGACAGGGGGAACTTCTGAAGCTTCCCTCTCCCTCTGTTGTTGACTGTTGGTGTGATAATTTATTTTTTATCACTGATAAAACAAACAACACCAGACATACGGAAATACTAATGTGTCACGACACTCAGTTTGGAAAGCTCTTCTTTAGCAAAAGTGCTGAAACACTGTTTAGTACCTATTTATCACATTACACACACCACCGCTTCTTAAATACACTCACACCCCACGTTCCGCACCCTCCCCGCCTGCCCTGGAAAATTTTGTAATATTTTAAATATCGAAACAAAAAAACACCACAATTACAAATCGATTTTAGAACCAAATTTTTTCTTGATCAAATAGGTTGGGTAACTACGGAAAAATTTGTTTCTAAACTCGTTTCGTTTTTATGGGGTCCATTGCGTTTCGTTTTTTAAAAGAATTCCGAATTTTCTTTAAAAAATTTCAAAATTTACAAAATTTCGTAAAATTACGAATCGATTCGTTAATGGCGGACGCGATTGCGCAATATGCAAAAAAACTCCTCCAAATGGGACAGGGGGAACTTCTGAAGCTTCCCTCTCCCTCTGTTGTTGACTGTTGGTGTGATAATTTATTTTTTATCACTGATAAAACAAACAACAACCTAAAACTTGCACCAGACATACGGAAATAATAACGAAACGATTTCGAAACAATTACGAAACAATTTCGAAACAATTACGAAATGAGTTTAAAAATTCGTTTTGATTTTTAGTTGCTCCTGAATTGTTCAATATCGGATCGTAAGCCACTTTAAATACGAATTATTAACGAATTACGAAATTAACGAACGAAACCGCCCAGCCCTACTATCTATCTATCTATCTATCTATCTATCTACCATCTATCTATCTATCTATCTATCTATCTATCTATCTATCTATCTATCTATCATCTGTCTGTCTGTCTATCTATCTATCTATCTATCTACATAATAAAAGTGAAAATATGTGAAAATATGTGTCTATGTAAGTATGTGTGTTTGTTTGTGGCTGGACTATCACTTACACAGACAAGGTCCTGCCTCTACAAACAGCTATAGCTCTGGTCGATACCAGGCAAGATTCTGGCAAGGAAACTAGTCCAATGTGGGCTAGGCAAAACCAATCTGTAATTGGTTACATGGACGAACCCAGAGGGTGCTTCTCCCCAAGGCTTCCTCTTCATCCTGGAAAGAAATGACGAGTGGAGTGCTATCAGCAGGGTTTTCCCATCCTGGGCCCGGTCCTGCTCAGGATCTTTATCAATGACTTAGATCAGTGTTTCTCAACCTGGGGGTCGGGACCCCTGGAGGGGTCACAAGGGGGTGTCTGAGGGGTCACCAAAGACTACCAGAAAACACAGTTTTTCTGTTGGTCATGGAGGTTCTGTGTGGGAAGTTTGGCCCAATTCAGTCGTTGGTAGGGTTCCGAATGCTCTTTGATTGTAGGTGAACTATAAATCCCAGCAACTACAACTCCCAAATGTCAAGATTCTATTTTCCCTAAACTCCACTAATGTTTACATTTGGGCATATTGAGAATTCGTGCCAAGTTTGGTCCAGATCCATCATTGTTTCAGCCCACAGTGCTCTCTGGATGTAGGTGAACTACAACTCTCAAAACTCAAGGTCAATGCCCACCAAACCCTTTCAGTATTTTCTGTTGGTCATGGGAGTTCTGTGTGCCAAGTTTGGTTCAATTCCATCGTTGATGGAGTTCAGAATGCTCTTTGATTGTAGGTGAACTATAAATCCCAGCAACTACAACTCCCACAAGATAAAATCAATCCTGCCAGTATTCAAATTACATCCTGCATATCAAATATTTACATTACTATTCATAACAGCAGCAAAATGGCAGTTATGAAGTAGCAATGAAACTAATTTTATGGTTGGGGGTCACCATAACATGGGGAAGCGCATCAAGGGGTCGTGGCATCAGGAAGGTTGAGAACCACTGACTTAGATGAAGGGCTAGAAGGCATGATCATCAAGTTTGCAGACGACACCAAATTGGGAGGGATAGCCAATACTCCAGAGGACAGGAGCAGGATTCAAAACCATCTTGACAGATTAGAGAGATGGGCCAAACTAACAAAATGAAGTTCAACAGTGACAAATGCAAGATACTCCACTTAGACAGAAAAAAAAAACCGAAATGCAAAGATACAGAATGGGGGACATGCCTGGTTCGAGAGCAGTACGTGTGAAAAAGATCTTGGGGTCCTCGTGGACAACAAGTTAAACATGAGCCAACAATGTGATGTGGCGGCAAAAAAAGCCAATGGGATTTTGGCCTGCATCAATAGGAGCATAGTGTCTAGATCTAGGGAAGTAATGCTACCCCTCTATTCCGCTTTGGTTAGACCACACCTGGAATATTGTGTCCAATTCTGAGCACCACAATTCAAGAGAGATATTGACAAGCTGGAATGTGTCCAGAGGAGGGCGACTCAAATGATCAAGGGTCTGGAGAACAAGCCCTATGAGGAGCGGCTTAAGGAGCTGGGCATGTTTAGCCTGAAGAAGAGACGGCTGAGAGGAGATATGATAGCCATGTATAAATATGTGAGAGGAAGCCACAGGGAGGAGGGAGCAAGCTTGTTTTCTGCTTCCTTGGAGACTAGGACGCAAGGAACAATGGCTTCAAACTACAAGAAAGGAGATTCCATCTGAACATGAGGAAGAACTTCCTGTCTGTGAGAGCCGTTCAGCAGTGGAACTCTCTGCCCCGGAGCGTGGTGGAGGCTCCTTCTTTGGAAGCTTTTGAACAGAGGCTGGATGGCTATCTGTTGGGGGTGATTTGAATGCAATATTTCTGCTTCTTAGCAGAATGGGGTTGGACTGGATGGCCCATGAGGTCTCTTCCAACTCTTTGATTCTATGATTCTATGGAGAAACCAATGGCCTTCCCTCCAGGTGTAGCGAGCAACATAAACATGTCCAAGAGACCTGCCAATGTCCTCCACAAACACCACACTGCCCCCCCCCCACCCAAGTGAAAGCTTTCATATGGGGACAATTTCCTTCTAGATTTTATGTGTTTCCTCCACCACAGACATCCCATTGTTTCTTACTCTCTCCATTGGTGTAGAATTTGCATGACCCCGCCCACTGCCTCTCCCTTAACCCTTTCCTATTCTTTTCTATGGCACACAGCAAGCAGAGGAATCGATCAGCAACTGAACATAGTAGAGAGAATTCACTATGGTTTATAGGAGTTTTAGGTCCTGGGATGCATAGTTCACCTGAAATCTAAGAGCACTCTAAACTCCACCAATTATGGGTATGGAACTAACTTAGAATCATCGAATCATAGAATCGTAGAGTTGGAAGAGACCTCATGGGCCATCCAGTCCAACACCCTGCCAAGAAGCAGGAATATTGCATTCAAATCAGCCCTTGGCACACAGAACTCCCATGACCAATAAAACATACTGGAGGGATTTATAGGACTTGTAGTTCACCTACATCCAGAGCGCACTATGAACTCAAGCACCGATGGACCTGGATCAAACTTGGCATGCATACCCAATAAGCCCAAATTTGAATACTAGTGAGTTTTGAGAGGAATTGGCCTTGGCATTTTGGAGTCGTAGGTACTGGGATTTATAGTTCACCTGCAATCAGGGAACATTCTGAATTCCACCAAAGATGGAATTGGAACAAACTTGGCCCACAGAGCCCCGATGACCAGCAAAAAACACTGGAGGTCTTTAGGGGAAATTCACCTTGACTTGAGGGAGTTGTAGTTCACCTACATTCAGAGAGCATTGTGAACTCTAACACTGATGGATCTGGGCCAAACTTGGCACACAGACCCGATATGCCAAAATTTGATTACTGGAAGGGTTTGGTAGGAAATGACCTTCCTTTCTGGGAGCTGTAGTTCACTTACATCTAGAAACACCACGACCACCACCAATGACTGATCTGGACCAAACTTGGCACACAGAACCTTCAAAACCAACTAAACCTACTGGAGGGGTTTGAGGAGACTGACCCACCATGGTGGGAGGTGTAGTTCATCCTGCATCCAGAGATCCGACGGACCCCACCGATGATGCATCTCAAGAGCAAACTTGCTCCATATGACAAACTTTAAGTACTGATAATTTCAGGGGGTTAACCTGGCATGATGTGAGTTGTAGTACACCTGATGGCGAGAGCCCCCGCCATATAAGTTGGTCTGAACCGCAGCAGGGAGTTCCGCAGTTCCGTAAAGCAAAGTTGGGTCCGAACTGATGAAATGTGCCCCAGCCAGCAGCTCAAAGCAAAGGACTGCATGAAGCTTTCTTTCACTTTCCCCTCTCCCTATCTTTGTAACCAATCCCTCAATAAAACACTTAAGTTTTGAAACTTTGAATCCTTTCCGCTTGATACTTTGTGTCCTTTTACTGACTGCAGCTTTTCTAACTCACCCTAAA